TTGGATATTTTATGCGGTATTGACTTTTATACTGTTATGATTTCATCCAATAGATATTTTGAAAGCGTTCAGAGCCGTACTCGGGAAAATTTTTAAATTATAGCTAAAACAAGCTAAAAACTTTTTAAGCGATTACAATAGTAATAACCGCTAATTCGGAAATAAAAATGACTAGATTTAGTCATAAAAATAGCAGCGACGTATTTAAAAAAGTTAACCCGATGATGGCTCCTCGAAGACGAAACGTCGGAATGCAAACATGTTGACGCCATTGTATAGAGCGAAAAAGTGGCATTGTAAATATGTAATTTATTTTAAAATTCGTTTTCAAATAATGCCAGAAAAAATTAAACAATTTTGCAAAATTTCGGGTTTTTCCGGATATCTCCGAAACTACCCGGAATTTTAAAACTTTCTAAACAGCATATTGTTATGTATAAAAAAACTCAACTTTTTTCTAATCTGAGCCACCCCGTATCTTTTACCGTTTCCTAGATACTAATGCCTATCCCATCCTTATCTTGGACACACTGTATATCTATGAATACATCAAACTTTAAACAAAATAAGTACACTATTTGATCCTACGGAAAAAAATTATTATTTATTCACAATTCGACTTATGTTTATAGTACTGTACAAAAATAGTTTTGGGTCAAACAACAGACAGTGTGACGCACTTTTCCTCGGTTCTCTCTCTATGGATCGTTCGGTGTAAATTTTTATTACTTTTAACTATGGTGTGTACACCCCCTGTAATTTAATTTTTCGGAACGGTCTTCTATTCCTCGGACTGGACTCTAAACGGTAATGTTATTTAATAACTTATATAGTCGGTTTTATTCTCGGGCGCCAGTTTCCCTAAATTTGACGTGGGGGAAACTCCACGTATCCCTTACCCTCGGTTTAGAGTAAAGTGCACAGGTAGCTACAGTGAAGAAAATTAATTCCAGGGGTCAATGAATTTCTTTTAGGAGAAAACGGCAGAGAGTTCGGCAGAGAGTAGTTTTCTCAGTGTAGTTTTATTTTAAATATGAAATTTAACGGGAGCTCTACAAAACGATATCAGCGTTTTTGCTGGTTCGGAATGTTATCGTTTTACCTCGACGGTGAAAGAAATAAACCTATTAAGTTTTACTAGATTTATTCACACAGGGAAAATATTAATACTTATTACAAATACATATAGTGTCAATTTTTATTCCTACCCACTACTAAACGACTGAAATTATTTACAAGTTTCTTAACAATAATTATATACAAATTCAGTGTGAAAGAGACAAAATTAAAAAGTTATGACTCTGGGTTTTTTACCATTTTACTTATCACCTTAGAAAAGAAATAAATATTTGTAAACGGGATCGAAATAAAATATTTATTACTCTACAATCGTAGACGGTTTTTATGTACAAAGGAAAAGGTGATTTTAGACGGTCTGATTAAAATATTTATAGACGTTTTTTACTGGTCCCCGCTGATTCTGAAAATAAACCAAAATTTATTCGGAATTATTTCGGACTTATTTTAAACAGGCGGGCGGTCAAATATCGGTATAATGGCCTAGCAAGCAATGCAAAATTAGTAAGCGGAATGCGGTAAGCGGTAAGCGATAGCAATAACCAGCGAAGAAAGCCCAAGCGGTGCAAGGCGGAAAGATAGGATGGTGAAACGGGATCCGAAGTATCTCGCCTTACAATTCGTACTAGCCTTTAAGCTTTATACGTCCTGGTGGCCGATGGTGTCGGACTCTCTGTATACAACGCTTCTCGGTCTGATGGGTATACACGCCGACCAGGGAGAAGCGTACGGATACTATATGGAACGACCCGGAGATTGGGTGGGCACGCCGAACCTCTAGGTCTTGGTTCACATATCCCCTATTACCCAGCGTACATCAAGGTGCGGGACACCAAGCAACGCTGTAGTAAACACGACGGCTTCGTCAGGATTGGGTTTAACACGCCGAATCCAACGATTGCACTGTCGTGCGGGTTGAGACGGACGGTGGAATTTGTGTGTGGGTTACCAAGAATATTCTTCTCGGGCCCACAGTAATTCCACACTTAAAGTGTACAAATCTTTTCGGACTTGTACCCGGTTGGAACGGATAATAATAAGGAAAATAATTCTTACTAGGTTCACTGGTTATTCGGGACTGGCTTCGGTGGAGAGTTCTTGCTGGCGGTGGACGTCTGTTCGGTGTTGAGTTCTGGATACGAACTGTCGGTTTCGGGGAATGTCGGGGACTTTTGTTGCCCAAATCCCCACCGGATTGACACCGGTCGTGGTGGGACCTCCACGTGACCAAGGCTTGTCAGAGTGGGGTATCGGCCGGTCGGACCCGCGAGCGGATATTTGATATATATGTAGAAAAATCAATAATTCTCGCCGCCGGGGTAAAACAATCCGAAATAAAAAGAAATATCTTTAAATCCAGACATAATAAAATCAAAAATAAAACAGGTTCATTACATCAGCTTTTTTTGTATTTTTTCCGTACAGTTGAATGGTGTAATCAGTTTTTGATTTTTTTTTAAACTTAAACAAATTATCAACAATTACTGAAAAATTCATTGGTGGAAGTCATTTTTTACTTTTTTGCATTTTTGAGCATGTTTTTGAACTGTGATTACAAATTTTTTTATTTCACCAAAATGTATATGTCAAAACGAAAAAAATTATTACCGGCAGAACTCTGTACGATGATTTTTTTAAGTAGAATTTTTCTTTGAAAAAAAAGTGTTTCAGGCCGAAAAAAATGAATATCACAGAAACTTCTTGATTTTTTTATCTAAAAAAATTGTAGGTTATTTAAAACAGAAAAAGGTACACTTTCACCAAGTTTCGTGAAAATTAAATTATTTTTGCGGATATGAGAAACAGAAAAAGGAAAAATCAGAAAAAAATTGTTTTTCGCATTTTTCCCGGAAATTTTGAGGTTATATTAAAAATGACCTCTACGAAAGTTGTAGATTTTTGCATGATCTACAACTTTTGTATTTGATAATTTTTTGTCTGACGTCAACTTTCGCCAGAAATCCCAATGATACAATTTTTCATAACTTTTCCGCCCCCCAAATCAACCCTCCGCCGCCCCCTGCTCATGCACTTATTTTTTTTCGTTTATTATAAGCCCCTTTACTATTTCCACTTATAAAAATCCAGGTAACTTTTCTTTTTTTTTTCTCTAAATGAGCTATTTTGATCGGTCTCATATCCTATTTTTAAGCATATTTTAAAATGTTCCCAATTTTTATTAATTTTTTATACTCAATTTATTAATTGAAAAAAATATAATAATGACACATTATAAGAAGCAACAAAATATTAATATTTTGAAAATTTAGCCCAATAAGAATAAACTTCAGCGAAAATTGCTTGTTCTGTTTTGTTCTGGAAATAGTTTAATAAATATATTTCGTGCATCAAAAACAATCTCTGAATTCAACATTTCAAAGTGTGTTGCCTTTAAGAAAACGCATTCAAAATGAACTTCAAGCTATTTATAAGCAACACGATTTCTTGCACTGAATTTTCGATAATTTTTAATGGACGGAAGAGTGTCTATAGCATACAGTTATTACATATATTTTACAGAAAATTTCACAATAGTATTTTTCAGCCAATTAAAGGCCTGTATTTTGTAGCGTTACTATAGCATCTAAGAAAATTTCCGGAAATTTTTCTCTTCCTTGGGGTAAGGAGCATGAAATTACACTGGAAATTTTTTGACATTTGTAAATAAAATGACATTTATATTTAACTTCAAATTTATTCNGTAATCAGTTTTTGATTTTTTTTAAACTTAAACAAATTATCAAAAATTACTGAAAAATTCATTGCTGGAAGTAATTTTTTACTTTTTTTGCATTTTTGAGCGTTTTTGAACTGTGATTACAAATTTTTTTATTTCACCAAAAAGTATGTCAAAACGAAAAGTGATTACCGGCAGAACTCTGTACGATGATTTTTTTAAGTAGAATTTTTCTTTGAAAAAAAAGTGTTTCAGGCCGAAAAAAAATTAATATCACATAAACTTTTTGATTTTTTTATCTAAAAAAATTTTAGGTTATTTAAGACAGAAAAAGGTACACTTTCACCAAGTTTCGTGAAAATTAAATTATTTTTGCGGATATGAGAAATAAAAAAGAAAAAACAGAAAAAACCTGTTTTTCGCATTTTTCTCAGAAATTTTGAGGTTATGTTAAAAAATGACCTCTACAAAAGTTGTAGATTTTCGCATGATCCACAACTTTTGTATTTGATACTTTTTTGTCTGACGTCAACTTTCGCCAGAAATCCCAATGATACAATTTTTCATAACTTTTCCACCCCCCAAATCAACCCTCCGCNAGCGCCTATGTACAACAATTTGCTTTCATATGAGCATAATATGAGGTGTGCTTATGATGGAAATGCCCATCGGTCGCTATTAGCCACTTTTTATTTGGAATGCGCATGAAAAGTTGAATTGACGGGAAAGCACATTACATGCTACTTTTATTAAATTCTTACTTTCTATTCAAGCAATATGGTTCTAATCCTCATTTGTTTTTATGATTATACATTACATACATACTAATTTGTTAAAAAATAGCAGAAAATCCTTGGCAACTACCATAAGCCTCTCCAAAGATCGCATTCCACAAAAAATTACCCAGGCAATCCACTTTTATGTATTTATGTTTTTATAAACATCTTAAGAAATAATTTCTAGTTTTTCTTAGGCAAGGCGCGCACTGAAGTGGTCAGCAAGTGACGTGGCAGTGGCGTGGTTACCAAGTGGCAGGTGGAATCGCTAAAGCATATGTAAACAAATGAAGACGCGCGTATCAAAACGGAGTAGCGGTGATGTGGTATTTTGCAGGTGGCGTGATGCCAGTCTGGTGCCACTAATCTCGAACAAGTTTAATTTTCGAATGGCAAGCGGGTGGCGACGACGTGGGTTTTGTGCATTGCAACTGCGTTTTCCTTGTGATTTTTCATGAATAACTAAAAACATGCGAGACGACCACGAATTTAACATAAAATTTGTAAGCGTTGTAGAGGCATTTCCCTGCCTGTATGACAATACGCGGGAGGATTATCATATGAGCCATGTGCAAGAGCGGGCCTGGGCCAAAATTGCGAAAAACATTGGAGAAGGAGGTAAGTAATGAAAGATTTGGTTTCTTAAAAAAATATATTTAAAGGCATTATTTAGTTAGTTTTTGATTCTCCAGTGTTCTTATACATATTTTTTTCAAGTGTAGCCCCCTTCCGCACAAGCCTTTGGCTTTTGGATTTGGGGGTTGTCTCACTTCTGTGGTGTGTTTTATGTTTATGTTATATTGTGTGTAGGATAATATTGAAAAATATTTTACTTTTTTTGGGACATTGTATATCTAGCTAAAATGTTTTGTCTTCATACACAAAATCTTTTTTGACCTTTAAGTGAGCCGTCCACTGTGAAGAAAAAATCGCAGAGCTTCTTCCGTGTAGCAATTGCTGGATTGGTAGCTCTTGTTTGATTTGAGAGTCTCGGATCACGTTGCTGTTCTTCATTTTCTACTTCTATGTCATTATCGTTTCCTTTCTTGCCTCGCGGACGCGAAAACACACCTTCCTCTTTTTTAATAAAATTATGCAGTACGCATACTGCTTGGACAATAGTGTCGACTGTATTTATATTAAGATCAATTGTTTTGTAAAATATTCTAAACTTGGATGACATCATTCCAAACGAGCATTCAACTGATTTGCGACCTCTTGATAACCTACCATTGAACACCCTCTTCCTATTTGTTAAGCCTCTTTTAGGGTAAGGCTGCATTATACTACACATCAGTGAGAAAGCTTCATCTGCTGCAAAATAAAATGGAAAATTTGTGTCTTGTCCTGGTAATGGATGTGGCTCTGGTAAGTCTAGAGTGCCGTTGACTAATTTCTTTCCAAAATTACTTTCTTTTAATGCCCTCTAGTCACTGTTTCGCCCATACTCTCCTACATCGATGGTCAAGAAACATCCATCTGCATCTGATACAGCCAACAAAACAATGGAAAAATACCCTTTGTAATTAATAAATTCAGAACCTTATTTTGGTGGACGTTTGATCCTGATGTGTTTCCCGTCTATACTCCCCACACAATTTGGTAGGTTCCATAGTTCCCAATATCTTCCAGCCGATTGTAACCATGTTTCTTTGGTAGGGTTAGGAAGGTAAGCTGGTTGTAGAACTTTCCAAATTACTTCTGAAGTTGTCGCAATTATTTCCCTAACGCTAGTATGACCTCTCAAAAAATAACACGATAGTGCCTTTAAATTGCAGCCGGTTGCGAAATACCTGGAAAGAAACACAATAATTAAGTAATTTATTACTATACTATTTATTAACACTCTGTGTATTACGCTTAATTTGTATATCTTAATGATGTGTTTTTATTGCAGCTACCATCGCAGACTGCAAAAAAAGGAATCTACGTGGAAGTTACACGAAACATTTAAAGACCTACATGCCATCTGGATCTGGAGCATCAGCGAAACGCTCATACTATCTCTCAGAGTACATATCTTTTGTTCTACCGTTCACAAAGTCACGCCAACCGAAAGGAAATGTTGAAGCTTCAAAGAATAGTTAAACGTCCGATACGCTTGATGAAGAAACATTTACGGAAGACCAAGAGACCGAAGAGCTTGAACCCGAACAATTAGGAAGTCCAAATGAAGTTGGAAATTACAAAAACAACCACGGGAAAAAGCACGATAGTGATGATGAACAGTCGATTACTGAAGACGTCAACCAGGATGTATCAGATGTAATTTTATCTCAGCGAGATAGTTTGGAAAAAAACGATTCTCTTAATCCAAAGCAAGGAAAACAAAAAAAAAGTCTATCCAGTTCGTCAGTACTCAGTGAAAATACTCGTAAACCTAAAAGAAGTAAAACTACTCAGAATGAAGAAACTTTGGAAGTCGTAAACAAATCTGCCTTTGAGTATTTTGAAAAAAAGAAGCAAGCACCGTATAAACCACCTGCTTTAACCAATGATGATGCCGATATGCAATTTTTGTTGAGTCTATTGTCTGATTTAAAAAAAATTACTGACAAGCAGAAAAGAAAATTTAAAGCTAGCGAAACCTCAATCTTGCCGATGAAATCTTGGACGAGCCAGTAGTATCTCATACTACTGTACCTCTCTTCTCCCCAACGTCTGGAAGTTATTCATCGCTTGGTGCACACAGCATGCATTCTAGACGTCCCTCTACAGCATGTAGTAACTCTAAGACAGCTGATTCGNGCAATTTTTGTTGAGTCTATTGTCTGATTTAAAAAAAATTACTGACAAGCAGAAAAGAAAATATAAAGTAGGAGTCCTCAATCTTGCCGATGAAATCTTGGACGAGCCAGTAGTATCTCATACTACTGTACCTCTCTTCTCCCCAACGTCTGGAAGTTATTCATCGCTTGGTGCACACAGCATGCATTCTAGACGTCCCTCTACAGCATGTAGTAACTCTAAGACAGCTGATTCGCAACCATCTTATCAAGACATTTCGTTTTCGACAGGACATCCACCACCCACACAAGATACATTATTACCAAATATTCAGTATGGTTATCAAAATAATTTTTAGGAGACACATTTTTACCAAATAATGAATATGCTTTTCAAAACAATGTCATAAAATAAGTTTGTATTTGGTTAATAAATGTCTATTAATATTTTTTATATATACTTACCGCAATGTTACTAGAAGTCTTTCTTCGGGAGAAACACGATTCCTGAAGTTTGTATCCTTTTTTTTTAAGCATAGGTCGTAGTTTTGTCAGTAGCTTGCAAAATGTCACTTTCTTCATTCGATAGAAAAGTTTAAATTTTTGGTCGTCCAAGTTCAAATCCTTTTTATAAACGTTAAAAATTCCAAATTTTTTATTTTTCTGCCAAAGAGGATGAACCCAGTAGTGTTTTTTCTTCTTCTTCTCCTGATTTTTAGCATTTAGGTTAGCAAGTTGTACAAATAAAAGAGCATCTTCATCCTCTGAGGTTGACATTTTAACTGATGAATCGGTAACATAACAACATACGTTGTTTGCCACTGCAGTGCGCTTTAAATCACTTTCATACCACTTCGCCGCTATTCCATCGTCATGCCAAATGTTCACCATCCCCATACCACGCACCATTCCAATATCTCACCACTACCACACTACTTCAGTGCGCGCCTTGCCTAACGTATGTATGGGGGCCTCGCGCGCGCCAATATCCTTGGCAGGAAAAATGACCTCGGATGGAGCGGGGTCGAGCGGGATTATCGCTCTTTACCCACTTCATCGCTGTAGGCCCGGACGCCTCGTAGAGGTAGGCCCTTTCCCCGTCATTCCGGACCGCCAACGCGGCCGGATTAGATCGGTTCGTGGGGCCTCCTCCTGTCCTGGCTGGGCCCCGCCGGCTAGGGCCCTTTCTTCTGGCGCTCTTCTTTCTTCGCCGGCTCGTCTGTGTATACCCCCGGGGGTGTCGTGTATCGGTCGCAAACGACGACTGTCGTTTGCGACCGGGGTGGTGGTTTTGGGTGAGGTCGTGCAGCTATGCAGCTTAGGAAGCGCTTTGCTAAGGTGGCCCTTAGGCTAGCGCGGGAGGGGAG